GGAACGCTCTCGAATTGCTAGAAAAACCACTATCCTCGTTTTTCCTCTGTATTGGCTGTATAATAGGGTGGATGTTCTTCATCAACTGCTTAGTGATGGTGGTTTTCTAGTTGAAAAGACATTTAGCAATGCGTTCCACGTGGTTTAATAAGCCTCATACGAGTGACATAGCGGTAAATGCTTACTTGCACTTGGTGTTTACACCAAACTATTCAATTTAACACCAACTAAGCAATGTAATCATGGCTAGTTGAACATCTTTACAAAAGACGTGTTGCATTCACTAGTTTGGTGCAAAAATCAAGTGCAGGTAAGTGTTTATAATGTAGCTCCCTCGTCCCTCCCCTAAGGCATGATGATAGTTTTTTCTGTTGCTTTTTAACGAAAACTAGGAAAGAAACCTGGCATTTGCTTGTCTGTCGTGCCAACATTCTAAAACTTACAGAAGCAAGGTGCTTAGGAAGTCTTCGTATGTTTTTATTAGCTTACGGTCAATCTATCCATGGGCAGTATATGTAATATCGTTGATCAGTTGGCTGAGGGTAGAGGTGGCAAGATGTTTAAAAATAAATAGTTATCCGCCCATATTATCCATTAAAAAATGGGTTGGATAATGAACTGCTTAAAAATAGGTCGAATATGGATGAGAACCATATTATCCACTTAGAAAATGGATAACCAGTGGATAATTAATGGGTTTAACTTTTACATTTGTAAAACTTCAAATTGGGGTTCCTTAAGTTTGGGAGACTAGGAATTCTCTCAAAAGTGATCATATTCAAGAAGCCATGAATAATATGAATATTCATATTATCCGCCGGATAACCTCTTTTTTTATCCGTCTCAAATATGAATCGGGTTGAGTATTTTATCCGTTTTTAAATTATCCGTTTTCGACTCGCTCATATCCAACCCACCTGTTTGCCACCCCTAGCTGAGGGCGAGGGTCTGCGTTAGTCTCTCGGCGAAACCTGTAGTGGTTAAGTTTCATGTGGGTAAATATTTGTGTCACCTAACAATTTTGGGCTTTTCCTAATTTTTCTAATGCCAATACTTGGTAAAAATAGCACGGTATAGCCAGTTTTCGGACTGGTCATTCAAAAATAGCCAATATTTACGAAGTCAATGAAAAATAGCCACTATTTTGCTGCAACAGAGATCGGTCCAACATAATATACTGGAGTTCGGTGCACCTGTGTATGAACTCCAGTATATTATGCTGGAGTTCTAGTGTACTTATGCTGGAACTCCATCATATTATGCTGGAGTTCCAACATACTTATCCTGGAACTCCAGTATAATATGCTGGAGTTCAAGCATATTTATGCGGGAACTCTAGTATAATATACTGACGTATTTTCCGAGTTTTGAACAGTGTTTTCGCTTATATTTATGTTTACATGAAAAGTGGCTAAATTTCGATTACTTTTAAAATTGGGCTATTTTTAAACGACTAGTTGTAAATCTGGCTATTTTTGAATTTCTCCCCAGTCTTCGTTTCTTGCAAGTCTTTGATTATGCCAATTACGACCCTCAGTTCTGCAAAGATAAATCTATGAATATTGGTCATTGTGGGACCGATATTTTAATTTAATCGTTTCGAAGCTTGTTTCTTCACATGGAAACTAAAAAATTAAAAGATTCATTTTTCCTTTTGCCTTTGATTAAAAATAAAAATGAAAAATAGTCCTACTAATTATAAGCTGTTAACATCATTTTGTGGAGCCTTAGGAATATAAAATGGAATTATAATAATTCCGCAATAAGTAAAGTAGAGTAGTTTAATATCTTGAGAAAAGAAGACAAGTATTCAACAACGTTACAACAATACCTGGTGTAATTTTACAAGTGGGGTCTAAAAAGACTAATTTGTACGCAGACCATACCCATGCCTTATCTTAACTCGAGACTGTTCACGATACACCCTCAGTTTAAAGAAAAACAAAATACTCCCTTTGTTCCAGTTTATGTGAACCTATTTCATTTTTGGTCCGTTCTAAAAAGAATGATTCATTTCTAAATTTGATAACAATTTAGCTTAAACTTACGATTCAACCCTTAATGAGAAGCTTTTATAACCACACAAATACTCTGGGCTTCTTTTTGACTTGTTTAGGATAACAAATTCCAAAGTCTTTATTTTTTTTAAACTTCGTGCCCGGTCAAACAGATTCATATAAATTGAACGAAGAGGCCATGTTGGAAATACTTAAGAAAAAAAGAAGTAATGACAACAAAATAATAAAATAGCCGGAGCAAAGAAAATAACAGCTAATATATAAAATTACATAATAGGATAATATAAGATAATACTAATGCGACTAATAGGTAAAAGGTATTGGCAATATAAAAACAGAGAGGGGTAAAAACGGAAAGGAAATGTTGGCTCCTGATTTCGTAACGACTTTCTATGGAAACGAGTAGAACATTTTCTAGTCCACCCTAAGTTTTGCTCGGACTCTCCAAAAATGTTGCCGGGTGCGTGTCGGATCCTTCAAAAATAGTTCAATTTTGGAGGATCCAACGCGGATGCGGCATCGTTTTGGAGAGTCCCCGCAACATAGAATCCACCAACATTTTTGTGGGGGTATAAATCTGTATTTTGATAGTTTTTTCCTGAAGAAGGTTCTGTTTGAATACAACATTTGAAATAAAGTAGTCGCAACTGTAATACAGGAGTTAGTTTTGAAGAATTAGAAAAAAAGCGTAGGGAATTTGACCCATTCAAATAAATCGTCCATAATATTGGCCAACGAAGAATAAGCGCGTACGCCATGGAAATGGAATTGAATGCTAACGAGGAGATTAGTACAGAAAGGAATGAGAACCCTAGGAAGAAGAAGGAAGTGGCGGCTCCGGTGCCGTTCATACTAATAATCTGCGGTAGCCTCGTTTACTACCACTGTGCTTATCGGAATTCAAGTATCGTCTCTCTCGTCTCCGACGTCTTTATCGTATTCCTTTGCTCTCTTGCAATTCTCGGCCTCTTATTTCGTCAGATGAACATCTCTGTTCCTGTGGATCCGATAGAGTGGCAGATCTCTCAGGACACTGCAAACTGCGTCTTCGCCTGCCTCGCTAATACTATTGGCGCCGCTGAGTCTGTTCTCCGTGTTGCTGCTACCGGCCATGATAAGCGCTTGTTCCTTAAGGTTCCACACTACTTCGCCTGGTTTTTCTGATAGTATATATTTATGCTTCTCATCTACTTGTTAGTTTTTAAGATTATTATCATTGAACATAAATTTATGCTCCTTGACAAAAGTTATAGGTTCATTCATACAACAACAACCCAGTATAATCCCACTTAGTGGGGTCTGGAGAGGATAGTGTGCATGTATGACCTTACCCCTACCCTGGGGTGGAGAAGGTAGTGTGCATGTAGACCTTACCCCTACCCTGAGGAGTGAGGTCTGGAGAGGATAGTGTGTATGTATACCTTACCCCTACCCTGGGGTAGAGAGGCTGTTTCCAAATAGAAACCCCGGCATCCTTCCTACCCTGGGGTGGAGAGGGTAGTGTGCATGTAGACCTTACCCCTACCCTGAGGAGTGAGGTCTGGAGAGGATAGTGTGTATGTAGACCTTACCCCTACCCTAGGGTAGAGAGGTTGTTTCCAAATAGAAACCCCGGCATCCTTCCCTCCAAACACTTCCCACCTTGATCTTGGGGTGACTCGAACTCACAACCTCAACCTCTTGGTTGGAAGTGGAGTTTGCTTACTATTAGAGCAACCCCTCTTATTATAGGTTCATTCATAGCCAGATATAATTAATGTAGAAAATGAATTGGTGTAATGTTATTAATGATCCTACATACCTTTCCAGGTTGTGGTTATTCTTTATGTGCTATCAGTTTTGGGAAGAATAGCGTCAGGTGTTACCATTGCATATGCCGGTAAAGTCAAGTCTTCTCCTATTCCCTCTACTTCTATTATACAGTTTCCTTCACAGTATGCGAAAAACTTGTGTGCAGCGGATGCAGTGTGAGAGTTACGGGTTTAATTGAATCCATAACTTTCGACACGGAGTAGAAATGTATGTGTAAAAATTCATTAAAAAATTGCAAAAATAAACCCATAACTTTAAATATATAATGGATTCAATGTTAAAAATCTTAAAAATTGAACCCATAGAATTTAACTCTGGATTCGCCTCTGCTTGTGTGATCGAGGGCGAGTTGTAGTGTGTACTCTTTTTCCCTGATCTAATGTTGAAAATATCACTAATTTGTTCTAATTTGGTACTGTTATATTACTCTTTATGCAGGACTCTGCTTTCTTTGCGTTTACATGCTTGCCAAGAAATCGCAACTGATCAGCGCATGTTTGTCGAGTCAGCCAAGGAGAAGGGAGTGCACAAACACAGCTCAGGGCGACTAGCTGGGTGTACTTTTGCAAAATATGAATTATCTGTGTAGCTTTGTGATTTCCTCACAGGTAACAAGGATAAGTGATATAATCTGGTAACAATGCTTTTTAGTTGGGAAATATTTAGCTTTTACTTAGATCATACTTGATGCTGAAGGAACAAGAGAGCTTCTGTAAATTCACCAAGGACATTGATGAAAATTGTTTGTATTTAACATGTGCATTCTCTTGATTAATTGTTAACAACTGCTGCATTCTTGTGTTGATCCTAGAATTTTGAGTTAAGACAAATCTATTCTTAAGAATTGATTGCTCCAACGAGATTCTTTTAAGAGATTTCACGTGAGCATTTGGTTCCTTCTCCTTAAATTTTCTTTCACATTTGAAGCAGAAAATTACACACTTTTCCCTCTTGCATCACCACAAAAAGCAGTTGAAAAAGATTGGAGATTCTAGGTCTGAATTTACACAGAAAATTAAGTAGTTTGCCCCTTGTACTGCGAACCCGCAACATAACATGACGCAGAGGGCGTATTAAGTTAGCCACAGTTGCATGGCAATTCAAGATAAGAGACTGCTATTGAAGGGATGTGCCATGACAAACCGATCATTGAACTAAACTTCAAAAGAATTATACGAGATCAAGAATAGTATACTGTAAAGCGGTTTGGACATTCAAAGTACGCACCCCACGTACAAGAGTCTTCGGTCCTTTGATGGGAACACTATATTTCCGTAAAGGAGAAGACGATATAAGCAAAAAATGTTGTCACTTTTTTGTTTGTCTGAATAGATTGGGATATTTTTTTTGGGAGGGGGTCCGGGGGATTGGTCCCTATTCTAGAGAGTGTCCCTGGTTTGCCCCATCCTTGTAACGTAATGAAACATACGTACACTTATCCTCTTCCCCACTTGGTAAGGAAGTGTGTCCCCTTCACTTTGGCCGAGAACTGGTTTTCTCAGTATCAGTAATCATCATCTATCCGCCGAGATGCACTTAGATCCTCTCTCTGGCTCAAGCTCGATCTTTGCACTAAACGGACTAGTGCCTGCACCACCTCGGACATGTGTGGTCGGAATTCTGGCTCCAACTGACAACATCAGTCATCACAAGTTAGTCAAAATCTCTTTTTTTGGGGCTATATATTGGTTATAACTAACTAGAAAGATACTAGGTTGAACTCTCTCAATTAAAGAAACTAACCTGCACGCACAAAGCAGTCACATCGGCAAATCGAGAGAGGGATTTAGGAGGATAAAGTCCACGCAGGGCAGGATCAGCCATTTTTTCCAAGGCATCTAGATCATGTAGTTGGGGCGATGCCCATTGGACCAGATACTGCTCTAATCTTGGCTTTGAACTGGAACATCGATCTGGAATATGTTAGATAAATGTTTTGATGGATAACTATAAAGCTAACGCATGCAAGGGATATCATGCACCTGTCAAAAGGCTTTCGCCCTGTCAATAATTCCAACATGACAACTCCGAAGCTGTAAACATCACTCTTCAAAGTATAAGCAGAAGGTTTTGTGCATTCTGGAGCAGTGTATCCAGCATCCAAGTTTCTGCTTGCACGCTAAAATTACAAAAGTACAAGAAAGGAAAAAGTTAAATAACATTATTTAAGCATGATGTTTCTCTAGTAGACACCAAAACACCAAGTGAAATATCTAAAGCATAAGTGAGCAAATGTGGACCAATCCAGATTAAGCCTAGGCACTGAGAGCATGAGTATGGCATTTCAATAGACTACATATAATGTGATTTAAAAAGTTACATGACCCACTTTTCTTCTTTTCTTTTAAGAAAGAACTTTATCCTTTTCCTGTTTCAAGTGGTGACATTTGCAAGTTAGCAGGTTCCTGTTTCAAAGGTCTATTATCACATACCTCATGAAACATTGCCAAGCCACACTCACAGAGACGAGGATTCAGTTCAGCGTCTAGCAAGATGTTCGAAGTTTTTATATTCCTGTGGAGACAGGATGGAGAACAAACCTCATGCAGGTACCTATACACAAATTAAAATCATGTCATAGGATCAATTAGGAGAACGACATTTATCAGGGTTTAATTCTAAATATGAGTTAGTGTTCATTAACACACCACATTTAGGTTTTAATAGTTAAATCTAAATTTTGATTTGATGTACTTAATGAACAGTCAATCATGCAGTTTTTGGTCAGTTTATACACAACTAAATCTTTAATTACCAGCTTGTGTTATAACTGTAACTGAAATATGAGAAGAGAATGGTTCAGAAAGTGTTTCATATAAATCAAGAGCATGTTGTACTTGATGGATTATCAGTTACAGTGGAAACCTTAAATTGTCAGTCAACATTAAAGACATTGCAGTTGATCTGTGCCAATCATACTTATTACCAACACCAGCATTAACGGAACCGCAAGAGAAACAACAGGAAGAGTTTGACTTACTCAATAGCACGAGCGGCACCTAGAGCGATTCTGACTCTTGTATTCCATGTAAGCGGTTTGCTGAAGTCATCTGACACATGTAGGAATTCATGAAGTGAACCATTCCTAAAATACTCATAGATTAACATATTCTGTCCCTGTTCTGAACAATAACCAAACACTTCAGCAATATTTGGGTGGTGAAGCTTGGAAACTTTGGAAGCAATGTCTGCCAATTCTGTGCACTGCCTATCTTGGAAAAAAGAGGAGTCTATTTTCTTTACCGCCAGAACCTGATAAATCAAAAGTAAGGTTTCTCCCTTATATTATCATACAATATAAATCTGAATGAATACTTCTAGACTATAAAAATATCAGTTGAACCTCCCTAGAAATGGTACCCAAGCAATAAGTAGCACCAGAAGTATTTTGCAGGTTGAAGTAAAATGAAGCATGAGACATCTACATTACACTTTCACATTGCAATTATCTGCTGCAAGGAATAGAAAACCTAGATAACCTGTCTCTCGAGGGACGTAGAAATAGTAAGCTGACAAAAGAAGAAAAAAGCAACTAATGAAATTGCAATGTTAAATGGAGTAGTGCTTAAAGGTTCCAAAATCAGAAATCAAGGAAGTAGTAAAATTCCCATGCTTGATACAAGAAATTCAAAAAGTAATTTGATGACAGGAAGTGACCTCTCATCCATCTATCATTATAGAATAATTTCTGCGGTCAACAATTATGCTTCCAGTACCTCTAAGCATATTCCCGAACAAACTTTATCATGCAAGTAATCTACTAAAGGTCTGGAAGAAATTCATTCTTTTTGAAACAGAACCTCTCTATCGTGTTATGAGGAAACAAAGAATCGGTCAAATGTTAGCTACAGAAAGGTTATTTCTCAAACCAGGAATTTTAAGTCAGTTTACTACGGTTAACATGTAGCAGAACACGATCATCTATGTAATGATTGATAAGGACGACGTAACGGGTTCAAGCATTATGCACTCACAGTAAATGGAAGTCAATTTACTATAGCTCCCATGCATCAGTAGAAGATCATTTGTGTGATTATCCGTAAGGACTACCATAAGGATTTCAAGAATTATAAAGACAAGGGATTACATCTTTGTTTCAATTTTTTAAAATGAGTCTTGAGACAGAATTTTCACTTGAAATGACCATAGAGAACAATTTTTTTGAATGTCAAAGCAGGGTGAAAAAGAATGTACATGATATTATGTATTTCATGAGTATGAGCCCTTCAAAACTGAGAGAAAAGTTTAAATATTACTCCCTCCGTTTCAATTTAAATGACAAACTTTCCTTATTAGTCTGTTCCAAAAAAATGACACATTCTATAATTGAAACCAATTTAACTTTAAGTTTTTTATATTACCAGTTTTACCCTTAATGAGAAACTTTTATAGCCCCATAAAAGTCATGGCCCCACAAAGCATTTGCCCCTTGAGTTTTTAGGACCACATGGTTCAAAAATCTACATTTTTTCTTAAACTTCGTGCCAAGTTAAACTACATCATCTAAATTGAAACTGAGGGAGTACTATAGATCTTCAACTACTCATGAATTGGTCATGTTCTCAACAGTATTAGCTCTCGACTAATCTATCCTATCTCTCATGATGTATAATGGAGGATACATGACCAATGCATGAACCAATTGCCAACAAATATACCATAAAACTAAGCAGTATTGTAAATCAGGTCAAGCTTACCCTGCCATCTGGATATTTTGCCCTGTATACTCGACCAATTGATCCCTCACCAAGAAGGCGAGAACTTGCAAAGTTACCAGTTGCATTCTGCAAATCAGCTAACGGATAGTAGGCTAAGTGCACTGAACTGCTTCTCTTCGCACTCAGAGGATTTGCAAACTCTTTATCATTGAACGACTTGAGATGATTTGAAGTTGGAGGATTTGTCAACTCCTTCTCATTAAAAGACTTGCGTCGCTCTGAAGTAAGACGCTTAAGAACCATCGAAGAAGAGGTTTGCAAATGTTTTTCTGTAGCGGATGAAGAATCTGAGGAGATAATTTCTGTCAGAAGTAGAAAATAATACATGTGGACCAACAAGAGAGGTTTCTCTAGTGATGAGGAGGGGAGGGGAGGTTTAAATCGAATTAAAAAAATATTTCCTCTTTCCTTTCCTCCACCATGTCTCTCTTTTTATACAAGGGGGATTGGCAAGCCAAAAGTAAAATTACCTCTGAAGTCCTCACACATGTTGCCACGTGTGCCACTAGATAACTCCTGAGATGAAAGAGGAGTGAAACGTTGACGCTGGCTAAACCTATCTTCCTCAAGAAAATGGGATGAAGGTGATGATCTTTTTTTCGAAAATAGAACAATTATAAAAATAAGTAGCAACAGAACACCCAGTATTATCCCAATAATGGCTGCTGCGCCCAGGCCAGACTTAGCTTCCTTTCCTGACCGCCCGGTGTGAGGTTTACTTTTCTGCCCAGGAGGCGGAGGAGGAGCTGCTCCAGAAGACCAAGAATTCCCTCCAGTCCTTCAAAAAAATAAAAAAAGCAAATATCAGTGCATTAAAGAAGAAACTGGTTAACAAATAGTTCAGCCAGCACTCACTCTAATTTCTTTATGTCTTTCAGCTCATCAGGAATCCAGCCTGTCAATTGGTTGTTTGCTACATTCCTGCCAACATTTTGTTGAATATACAGCCTTAGCCTCTTCGTATGTTGAGCACACTTCAGTACGTACTTTGTGATAGTTTCTTTTAGAGTCATGAACATAAATCTAACCCATCTTTTAAGGCATAATGGGAAAAAGTACATTGGTACAAATTTGGCTTAGTAATGAATCAGTGTGTTATAAAGGTTCAAGTGCAAGTCTAATTGTGAAGGCTACTTGGTTATTATTCGTTTAATTCATGTCTTACTTAATTCCATGTCATCAAGCTTTTCAATGTATCAGTCAATCATATGTGATTGTTCCTTTTGGTACAGTACCCCTATGACTCAATACCTTGTCGTAGCTGTCGTAATAATTAATGGAACTCGATATAATGCAGGGAAAACTTACTACACTACTGGAGATGCAAGAACCATGATTTAGAATCGTAAATTTACTAATGGCACAACTTACAAATCGTCAAGTGGAAGATCGGCAAGAACATTTATTGATCCAGTAAACTGATTATTCTGCATGTGCCTGCTTGCAGAGTAAATATGTTTAGCTGCAATGAAGATTTTGATCCCAAAAATAAAGCATTAGCTTACAATTTGCTGAGGCTTGAGAGGGATCTGAAACTCTGAGGCAAACTGCCTGATATTGAATTGAAGGACAGATCCCTGGATGAATTTGCATCAGTTAGTTGATATGCTAGGCAAGTATATTACTAGACACACTACAATGTTTATGAATATATGTATGCATTTTGATATACAAGAATGTACAGACAGAGAAGAGGGGGATGTAAAAGCATTGTTATCTTACTTGACGATGTTTATGAAGTAGACGGACTAGACTAATGGGATAATTTTAACTTAAATATATTCTTGGAAAAAACTAAGATAAATCAACTCTACTACTTTCAGCACCGTTCACTCCATAGTTCGTATCTAATCTCTTCTTGCAGCTGTTCATGAAATTTATTTGCATAAGGCAAGACCTTATAGAACAAACAGAAAACAGAAAAACTGGCTGCTAAGTTTGCAATACTTACATCTCAGTGAGTTTAGTAAGTTGTCCAAACATATCACTCAGTGATCCACTTATCTTATTATGATTCAGATTCCTGCACAACAAAAAGAGCATATTGACACCTGATATGAAGCCCAAAGTCTAAAAAAATAAAGAATAAGAGAAAAACCATTACAGAAATTTAAGATCAGCCATCTGAGAAATTGAATAAGGCACAGTTCCACTGAATTGATTTCCAGAGAGATCTCTGCAGAACAAGAACCCAATGAGGGACTGGTAGGGCGCAATATCAACAGAGGAAAACCTTCTGAATAAGGCTTAGCGCTAACTAGCCCTCCATCTGTCCCAGTTTATGCGACACTTTTCTTTTTAGTCTGTCCAAAAGAGATTGACACTAACAATTTAAATTACACTTCCCATATTACCTTAATGAGATGATTTATAGCCACAGAAATGTCTATGGCTTGTTTTAGACCAAAAGTTCAAAAATCTTTCTTCTTTCTTTAACTTCAGTGCCCACTCAAACAACCTCACATAAATTGGGACGGAGAGAGTAATAAATAATCGTACTAATAAGACAGCCAAAGGAGGTGATCAAAACTTGCAGTCGGAGGAGAGACTTCATAATCAGTTTTATATAAAAACTTAATGCTTCTCTGCCTACTTACAGGTGCTGCGTGCGAGGAGGAAGTTGATACGGTATGTTGTCCTTGAGGTTGTTTTTGCTCACATCACTGCACTATGACATTCAAATTAATCTTTATCAGGACCAGTTCTTTCAGTGGACATATTAAAGCACAAATACAAAAACCCAATTTCGAATATCCAAGTGTTGTCTGGGCCTCACAAGTAGGTGACTTTCTCCAACTTATCAAGCTGGAACCCTAGTGATCCAGAAAGTCCCAAGCCAGATAAATCACTGCAACATTAGTTACAATATAAGAACAATCAGATCATGGATTAGCAAAAGAACTGCAAGGCAAATCTTTGTTTTCCTTATGTATTGTAGTATAAGTAAGAATTTTAGCTATGTGCCTTTTCCACCACTAGGAAAAATAGATCCACAACAATAGGTATTTCGTCATATCAATTCTGATATGGTAACCTGGAAAATACAGTGATAACCTGCTATAACCAGTTAAATTACCTAATAGTGTAATTTTTTAAACATATTGTCAGTGTACATAACTTAAATGCGTGTAAGTAATAGTAAATAAAATGACTGCAAATAAAAAAGAAAGAGAAGGAAAGGCGTACATTTCAATAATATCTGAACCAGAGCACTTAATACCCTGCCAAGAATCATCACCACAAGGGTCTCCTCCATCCTTTTTCCATCCTTCAAGTTTGGAAGAGGGCTTCAAATATTGGTACATATTGTTGAGAGCAGAAACTGTAACGACAATTTTCAATTTTATGTCCACATATATATCTAAAAATGTAATAACTAATAGCATGCAAGCTAAAATATTGTTTGGATTTTATAGGCTATATAAGCTCGTGAATATGAGTGGCAAACGAGCAAGTCTGGTCGGATATGGTTCGGGTCGAAAATGGGTAATGAAAAAACGGATAAATTATCCAACCTGACCCATATTTGATACGAATAAAAAATGGGTTAACCGACGGATAATATGGGTAACCATATTATGCATGACTTCTAGCATATGATCACTTTTGGAATAATTCTTAGTCGCCCTAACTGGAGGAACCCCAATTTGAGACTTTACAAATGTAAAAGTTAGACCCATTGGTTATCCATTTTCAAAATGTATAATAGGGATTCTTAACTATATTTGACATGTTTTTAAAAAGTTCATTATCCAACCCATTTTTTAGTGGATAATATGGGTGGTTAATTAACCATTTTGCCACCCCTACTCGCGAAGATTCAAATGGAGTACCTTGGCGGGAGTCTGTTTTGGAAAGCACCACGGGAATAGTGAAGGAGCTTGTAAGGATAATCCATAAAAGGAAAGTGGAGGGAAACAGTAATTTTACTCCTAGAATAAATACATCCATTAACATGTCAATAGAAGCCCTTATATATAATGGTTGCCCTATGCGAAGAGCAAGTTGAGATCAATTCCCAATAGGCCTCTACGCGAAGGGCGAAGAAGGGAGTATAAACAGACAAAGAATAATATCGAAATTATGTCGAGGGGAAAGTATAGGATCAAAATTATGAGGAGAAAATTGGTAAAAAATTTGCGTCTGGAATGAATGAATTCGTTGTGAGTGGTGATGTACAGTGGTGGGAGGTGAATTGGGATTGGGATTGGGAAATGATCCAAACAAATAACGACCCTGAAATTTTGGGGAAGGAAGTGAAGAAGAATGAAATTAGGCACTCTTTTCGATTGGACTGTCATTTCGCGATTTCTTAGCCCCAAAAGCAGCACGACCGCGAATTTATACGGGAGAGTGCGGGAGGGGAACAATTATACTGCCAAAGTTTTAACTTTTTTTTTTTTTCTTAAACTGTGGTGTCCGTCCGCATGCGGGCCCGACTATTCCACAGAGCCCTGGATGCGCGATCATTTTTTCAATGCCTCCAGTGGCCCTGTGGAGGCTCGAACCTGGGACCTTGAGGACTTTGTCCTCAGTGGTTTTACCATCTCGGCTACCCCTCAGGGTTGCCAAAGTTTTAACTAATACTCCCTCCATCTCATAGTCATAGTTATTAAATGCTTAAAATAATTGACTCAAATTATAAAATTAAAAATAAAATTAAATTTTTTTATCTTTAATACTCCCTTCGTTTCAATTTATGTGAACCTGTTTGACGGGCACGGAGTTTAAGTAAAAAATGAAGACTTTTGGAATTTGTGGTCCTAAACAAGTCCAAATGGGGTCCAGAGTATTTGTGTGGTTATAAAAGCTTCTCATTAAGGGTAAAGTTGTAACTTTAAGCTAAATTGTTACCAAATTTAGAAAGGGTTCATTCTTTTTGGAACGGATCAAAAAGGAAATAGGTTCACATAAACTAGAACAGAGGGAGTAATAGTTATCCTTAAAGACTACAAACACCTCAATTATTGATTATTTTATTCAAATACTAATAAAGAAAAAATAAATATTAAGATATAAATAAAGATAAAGTAGTCAAAATTCCATCCTAATTAATTTTTCTTAATGAGCATGTAATAGAGAATCATGACATATAATATGAGACGGAAAAAGTAATATTACCATTTTGGTTTGATTTAATACCATAAAAACCCCTTAAACTATTATGTTTTTGTCAGTTTCTTACTTAAATTATTCAGTATACCTAAAACCCCTCTGAACTATGTTGCCCTTCATATTTTAACTCCTTCTTGCTTACTTGGCCGCTGAAAAAGGCCGTCAAAATGACCCACCTTATAAAATATAATGTCTAATTAGTCTAACCTTCTTTAACTTTTTTTTTAAAAAAAATAAATATTCTCAATATTTCCTTTATATCCACCTTTCTTCCTTGTTTTTCACCATTGTTCCTTGTTTTTCACCTTTCTTTTGTATTTTTTCACCTTCTTCTTCATTTTTTTTTCCACTTTTTTCCTTCAGTTCTCCATATGGGTTCCCTTTGGAAAAAAATTTCCTCTCATGTTTCCTTTGAAATAGTTTATTTTCTTTCTTTTTTTTAGTCTTCTTTCATGTCTTATTCATATCGTTGAAAAGACACTCATTTAGATCTTCTTATTAAACCAACACGTTGTTGTAGAGAATAAGGTTGAACCTCTTAAACCTTACTTGTGTAATTTAGAATAAAAGAATGTAGTTGTTGGCCAATTGGTTTTTTATTTTGCGTAATCTTGTTTATGTAATATAAGATAATTTTTCATAAATGCAATATTATATGCCTTTATTTATTTTTTATTCTGTTGCAAAATAAATGTAAATGAAGACTTATTCAATTGGAGTTTGGCATAGAGTACAATCATAGTTAAACTTAAAATTAACCCATTACATTAGATACTATTTTGGCCAAAACTCCTAGCATTAATCAGTCATTCGAGAGTAATACATTATGGATAGACTACGTAAAAATTTAGTACAAACTATAAGGTAATGTAGTTAGAAAGATGTACCTGTAAGAATTTGATATGAGGTTTTAATATATAGGAAAATATAGATCGGGAGGGTTTTGGCTAGATAACTTAAGCAGGTAACTGATAATTTTTTAAAAATAGTTTATGGAGGTTTTAGACTAAGTTAAATAGCTATATGTAGTGTCACATGGCATGTTTTTTTAGATAATTAGGAGCATGTACTAGTTGCACCTCTAAGAATGCAACGAGGGGTATTAATATGAAGGGCAATATATTTCGGGGGAATGGGGGTTTTGGAGGCACCAAATAGTTTAAGTAGTAAACTGACAAAAATGTGATAATTTAGAGAGGTTTTAGGATATTAACTCTTTTGGTTTTATAGCGATATTAGCTAGTAATATATCAAACATGAGATAACCATAATTCAAAATTTTATACCAAAATTAATAATCTTATCTCGATAACCAAACGATCCATTCCTTGAAGAGCCGTACTATCACGTGTTACATACTAGTACTAGCATTAAAGCACAAAACTATTTTAACTATTTTAAAAATTATAATTTTTTAAATTTAGTTCTTAACACTACTTCAAACAATACCGATAAATTACCGATCGACAAATTATGGTTGATAAGAAGAAAAAAATATTTTTTTAAGATTCTTGACTTACATGCCTTCAGAGGCGGATTTACAGTATAAAATATGGTTCACGTGAACCCGTGGTCCACGGGTTAAACTATAGATATGATGTATATAATTTGGCAAAAATAGGTATATATATTTGATGGAATCCTTGGTAAAAAAGATGAAGTAGTTCATTGGTTTTGGTCTCTTATTTCCAATAGCCTTTAAGGGATCAAATTCCCAACCAACTTTTTTGTTTAATTTTTTTTAAAAAAATAGTGGTGAACCCATCCTCCGGAAATCCTAGATCCGCACCGTCTTCCATGTTAGATTCATCGTTGGACCTTGTTACCGTGCCGAAAAAGACGTTATAGCAACCATCCTGGGCCTTCCTTCAAAATTTGTCAAAAATACTTAGCGCGTCGATACATCTATGTTCTTGTAATCTTACATATCTCTAATGTGCTGTGGTAGAGTTTGATTGTCTTAGTTTTTTTTGTAACTTAAAAACTTATATACCATAGCAGTTTTTGATAGCAAACGTTGTTTTTAAGGTAAATATTTTCTTTAGAAATAACATAATCCCATATTAGTTAAAATATTTGTTAAAATACAAAATCGTGTGATGAATCATATGAATATAAATGAATATGAGGGACGACGTTATATGATTAGAACACTGAAGAACGAATTTGGCCAGTACTGGAGCTCTATGAAATTAAGTACAGTTTGTCTTGAACTACAAGCTGGTTTAATTTTTCACATAGTACAGCTCTGATCAAGTGCATCAAAATGTATAGCATATTGCCGAATTGTAAAATTACAGAGTAGGGGCTCTTTCAGCAGTTCCAGCAATGACAGTGAGCAAGTTGTTGCCAAAGGGATCACTCAAATGAGCAGCCAAATTCTCAACTGGACCTTTTCCTGTCACATAGGCTTGGATGAAGAAACCAAGCATTGCAAACATGGCTAGTCTTCCATTCTTGATTTCTTTTACTTTCAATATTGCTGCCTGGTCTGGGTCCTTTGCCAAGCCTAGTGGATCAAATGGACCACCTGGGTGTAGTTTGTCCTCCAAATCCTACATGTCAATACAATTTATTAGATCAACAGTCTAATAAAATATCAATATATGATATTGTTAGGTTGCGACCAAAGTGTCACATTGGTTGCTGAAAGGAAAAGGAAGCTACATATAAGGTGTATGACTATTCTTAATGGGTATGACTGGCAGACGGTTGCGGGTACACTTTTGGATTCAACCAAAATATGCTTTGTATATACGGTATCCACCACTAATGTATCACTATTTTTTAAAGACATATACATATATACATGGAATTTTTTCCGAATTTACGGGTGCTGGTGACCCCTCTTTGTATAGCATAGGTCCGCCTATGGGTACGAGACCTTTTGGAGAAAACAGTAGGAGCTTTGCCCAAAGCAAAAAATGTCACACCATATTAAGAGTATGTTTGAGCTGTGTAACGCCAATATTAATGTCGCAAACTAGTCACTAAGAAGTGAAGGGGAGCTCACCAAGCCATTAGTAATTCTGTAGTACTCAGCACCACCAAGAAGAACAACCTCCGCGACGACAGCAACAACAAGATTGATGGGAATGTTCTTTCCAAAGTAATTCAATGTGTTTCCATCTAGAAGTAAAGCTCCAGTCTAGACACGAGATAAACGAGGAAATAAGTAGTGTATACTCCTTGTAAATTCAAATTCCTAATGAAATGAAAGGTGCAATTGATGGAAATATATACCTTGAACCAAACAGCTTCAGGACCACAGTCAGCACCAAATTTGTTAAAGGCTTCAGGGATAACAAATCCAGCAGCACCGAGCATAGCCCATCTGGCGTGGATCAACTCATATGCCTGATATCTGCAGTACATCGAGCATATTAACACTAGAATCTATCTCCACAAACAACACGAACGAAATTGGCTGAGAGTAAAAAAGGTTAGCTTGGTGCACTCAGGGGCGGATCTACATGCTAATTTTGACAAGATTTAGTAAATTTGTATAGGTAATTATAAAAATATTTAGGTAAATATTGATTGAGCACCCATAACTAAACTCTTTTTTCCTCTTCTTTCAAATTTTTTATCAGTGAGCACCCACGACTTTAAAATCCTGGATCCGCCACTGGGTGCACTAAACTCTCACTATGTGCGGGGCTGGTGAAGGACCGGACCATAAGGGTCTATTATATTGCACGCAGCCTTACCCTGCATTTCTGCAAGAGGCTGTTTCCACGGCTCGAAATTGACTATGAGTAAACTTAATTAATGTGTCACCTCACTTACTTAGCAAAGTCTTCTGGCTTCTTGCTGAGACCAAAAGGATCATAACCGTAGCTGCAGCAAATACAGAAACTTTATTATACTCGTAATTTCATTCCATATTTGTATATGTTGGCATGCAATTCTAGCAAAAAGACGCAAAGATTAAGGAAGCTTACTCTCCGGGAACTTCTCCGTTCAAGTACTCGGGGATTTCTGATCTGTCCAAGAGACCGTCGGGTAGGAAAATTCTTCTGTCAGGTCCTGTAAGTAGTATTCAGATATCGAGAGTAAGCAAATGAATAAAAGGGAAGTTGTAAAATGGAGACTACAGGGACTGGGAATTTCTAGAGGTTCTATTTAACATTATTGTAGTACGTAGGATTAACAGCAACAAGCATATGAAGGCAGTTCATTAAGGAAAATAAAGACATAATGTAATGGAGTACTTCCTCAGTTTTAAGGAAAAAATAGCCAGATTTACAACTAGTATTTGAAAAATAGCCACAATTTTAAAAGTAATCGAAATTTAATCGCTTTTTTCATGTAAAAATAAAATCTGAACAAAAACACCCTTAAAGATCCAGAAAAATTTCAGCATAATATGGTAGAGTTCAAATTTTATATATGACCTTACAACATAATGTGCTTAAGTTCTAAAATAATATGCACAAGGTCCATAATCCCGCATATTATGCTGGAACTTTCCGTGTGCCGGAGTTCCAACAGGTTTATACGCAGGAGCTCCGTAAACCTGCATATTATGCTGGAACTTTCCGTGTGCTGGAGTTCCAATAGGTTTATATGCAGGAGCTCCATAAACCTGGAACATTTTGTGTTACATCAAAGCGGTGGCTATTTTCCAATAAATTTGCAAACACTGATTATTTTTCAATTACCCGTCCGAAAACTGGGTAGCTGGTGCTATTTTCATATAAAATGAAACGGAAGGAGTAAGTATGTTACTCACCGTACCACTTGGCGAGCTCCTCGTCAGCAGGGGCGACAGCAGCAGCCTTCTTAGCAGGGGCAGCAGCAGCCTTCTTTTTGAAGAGGGCAACAGTTTTGAAGGTAGCAGAGGAGGATGGAGTTGGAGCAGCTGGCCTTGCTACACCGCTGAACTTGACCGGACTTCCCATCATTTCCGAGACATAGAGGGAGGTAGCTGCAGCCATGGCTAACGGTGGAGCCGGAGGAGGTTGAGGTTGAGGTTGAGATCAGTTGTTAGACGAAGAGTTGTTGATGATGAGAATTGAGAAATTGAGGATGGTATTTGGAGTGGAGATACTCACTAAATGGTTGATCTGGTGGATGTAGACGTGCCAAGTGGCGTCCTGCTATTGGTTTTCCAAGGAACATCTGCAATCTGATGCAGAAATTTGATAGGAAGGATTTTCTGACGTGGCAGATGACAGTGCTGACATGGCATGCATCTCAAAACTATTGGTGAAGACTTGGATAACATCCTATCTATCCACATTGCAACATTACCTTATTCTTTTCTGTACTTTTCTCTTTTATATATTTTTCTTTTATTAAAAATGCAATATGCGATATATATATATATATTGACGTCATGGATAAATATGTTAGAGATTAGAAATAAAACTTAGTACAAGAAATTGTTGTGTCTGGTTCAATTTGTGCGTACCTCGACGTATTCCATAGAGTATCTGCTGCCTCTAACTAGTAACTAGGGGTGTACAAAGAAAACTGGCAAACCGCACCAACCCGATAATCCGAGTCAAACCGAGAAAGAAAACCCGACTATGGTTTGGTTTGATTTAGTTTGGTGTTGGAAAAAAAAACCCAATCATAATTGGTTTGGTTTGGTTTTAACTAAAGAAAGTCAAACCGAAACAAAATCAACCCGACATTACATATATAGAAATTTTAGATATATTTAATATATAAATATACTTATTGTGATGTAATTTATAAATATTTCTTAAAAAATTTCATACTTTTATCTTTTAATGTATTATTTCAAGGTTGGACTAAGAACTTTTGAATGCTCTAATAAGTTTTATAGCCATTAACATTAGTAAATTAAATAATTCTAACAAAAGCTCAAACCAAAATCAAATCAATACTAATGCTAACAAAAGACATTCAATTCAATACCATGAATGGGAATGCATTGAATATCTATTTTTTGTTTTGCAATAATTTAGATAAAAAAATATAACCTATTTTTATTTTTTCTTTAGCGTGTAGTCATGTAATTAATACTCCCTTATTAGTCTACTTATTTTAGCATGACTTAGTACTTTTAGATTATGTTTATTTTTATTATGACTTTTTAATTAGCAATATTTATATTACATAATTTTATTGTTGAATATTATAGGATAATGCCATGACACATTTCATATTTTGTATTATTTTCTTGGAAAATATATTATATAGTTGTATCTTACTAGAATTAAAGAAATATTTTGAGCACAATTTATATGTTTTGTTCTATGAAGATTTTACCGGAACCCCCCCTTCCC